TGGATAGATAGATAGATAGATAGATAGATAGATAGATAGATAGATAGATAGATAGATAGATAGATAGATAGATAGATAGATGTAAAAATTAAATAAATTTGACCTAGCTAAAGACTGCACTAGCATATCTAATAATGTTTTTATAATTTAACCAGTTAATCACACGTCTGTGTTTTTACCTGTAGGACGATCGTCGTCTCTTCTTGCCCTCCAGGTAAATCGTCTTGATTCGTACCCTAACGAGAGACAAACACATGAAAAAGAATTTGTTTTCTATTTTGTGAAAAACTTACATTGCCAATATTTTTATGCAAGCCACGCTGTTAGACATGTTATCAACTGGCCTTAACCCTCCTGCCCTCACCATTACTGTACTGGCTCTGACTCGGCTCTTGTCCCTGGCTCTTTGTGGAAAAAATGAATCGATCCAGCTGGCATCGAAGGAAGTCCCTCTCCTCTTCCAAGTCTTCGATTCTTTTCTGCAACCAGGAGTTTTTCTCCAGAGAGATCTGGAGCTGGGTCCGCAGGTTGGTGATCACCATGTATGAGTTGCTCACTGGGGATGGGCCAGCATTTGAGGGTGGCTCTGAGGACGACAAGGACAGCCTGAGAGGTGAACATGCTGCACACGAGCAGAATGAATAAACTGGGTCAGAGGACTGTGACTTCTTTATATTTTATCTAACACGCACCATCAAAATTCTGATCAGACTGGTTGAAAAACCCTTGCTGCTCGAAGCTGTTTTCCTCATAAGGGATGGAGATTTCATAGGCATCCTCATTTTTTGGAGCTGCAAAAAGTAAACCACCACAAGATTTAAAACTGAGATTTAACAGCATGACAAGTATCTTAAACAAATACTTACTCTGCAGGTGAATTGAGCCTGTATGGCTCTTGGATGTAGAAGCAGCATCACTCCTGTTACTGTCCTCCATCTAACATAAACATTTAGTTACTTTCAAACAGTGTCAAAGAGTCACAAATGCAGATGCATACAAACTGTAGAGCTTTTGTTCAATATCTCAGCCGAATAAGAAAAACTGCTCATTCACAAAATCTGCAGCTCAGACTAGCTTTTAACGACGTGCTTTTTCAGTCAAACCAGAACGAAGTGAATTAAATGTATTTTAGTGAAGCTACTATAATATAAAACCGAAACAATTAAACTGACTTTATTACTCAATGACAAGTTTATAAAAGCGTGAAATAGCGCTCACACGGCGTTAGAGGTGAGCTTATTACAACGTTAGCATTAAGGTTAGCAAGAAAATGTAGTCCGAATATATATTTACATCCCTTTTTATTGCATGAACTCGTTTTAATTCTATTATTGTACCACTAATAACATCTTCATACTCCAAATATATACCACAGAAAGAGGTACATACCACGTAGCGTGTGTAATAACTTAACGGTGCACATGTAATAAGACGTTATTACTCAGTCATAGCTCCATTTCCCCAGCTCGCCTGCAAGCTAACAAGCTAACAATAACAATTATCGCACTTTTATTTTTTTCCAACGCGTTCTGATGTCATTTCCGGGTGTAATAAGCTCAGCTGTTTACGCCAGAGGTCAAAACTGTGAGAAAAAAACTGCTTTTAGTCTTAAGTTTTACATCTCTGTGAACTGTTTGTTTTCTGTCTCATTATGCTTATAGGTATTTACAAAAAAAAAATAGTGTGCACATATTATTAATAATTTCAAACACGCAGTGTTGCGCGCAGTATTGTGACATATTATAGGCCTAACACAGCTGTTGTTTTGTGCCTTTGAAGTCATGAAGGTGTAAAAAAACGAACTGTTATTGTCACCGTCGGGCTCACCTGCAGGACAGGTTAAACAGGTGTAGAGGTGTCAGGTTTCATCAACGGTGGCTGCTCTGCTCGACAACAAACGACTTTGAAACGATCTCTAGCTTAAACAGTTTTAAATGTTCAGGATTTCTACAGCCACACAAAAGGGTAAGTGCTTTATTCATCTTAAAACTTATCTAAATCAATAAACCTGATGAAATTGTAAGTTCTGCCTTTAAAAAAAAAGTATGATGAAACGAAGTGCAAGACAGGCGTGGCACCTGTTTTGTTTAGGATCAGAGCAAAACGTGTAAGACATTAAAAAGCTCCAGTTTTTTAAATAACATACAGGTAAAATGATTATTTTTAAAGGGTTATTATTATTTTTTCACTTTTTCCATATATATGTATGTATAATACAAAGTCTCCTGGGTCATAGCTTTGTGCTTTTCACATTAAAAGACCCTGACACACAAAAACCCTTCATAACCACAAGTACATGTACTGTGAGGTTGTTTTATCTTCATCTGTGGATGTGGTTAAAATTACAGCTTTCTTGTGCAGGGCTCTGGGGCATATATAGGCAAATGGTAAGGGCATCTATGGGGTGCCACAAATGAGGGATGGAGAAAAATATCCTATAACTTTTTATTAGAGTATAATTGATTTAGTCAGTAGAATGATCAGTGAGTCTATGAAGGTAACTTGTTCTGTGGGTTTCTCAGCTGCTTCATTGTTACATGAGGTGTTACAGGGTGCAGAGAATATTCCAGTGTCATATGATGCAGCCAAAACTTATTTTAGGTGCTCAGTTTGTAAACAAAAATCAAAATAAGGATAACAGATGTTTCAGTTATGATCTCAGATAAAGTTCAGTTTAAAGTTTGATTTTCAGTGTTCTGCCTTCATGAAATACGGATTTTATGTTGTTTTACTGGTAAAAAAAATGCTTTTCAAAGGGCTGTAAAATAAATAAATGGCTTTGAGTAGAATTTTTTACAAAATTTTTGGGGGGGAGCATGGACCCCCATAGAACTGCTTCAGTCCACATATGCTCGTTTACATGAACAGGTGTTTTTGCCCCATGATATTGAATTTTTAGTCTCATCTTGTTCCGTTTTTGCCTAATCTTAATACTTTAGTGACACAAATTCTGAGTGTTTTTAGATTAGAGATTAGAGAGACCTTTATTGTCATCGTACAGAGCACAATGAAGTATTTCCTAATGATTATTTTGTGTCATGTACAACTGGGATCACTTTATTGTGTATTTGTTTTGTTCAGCTTTTGTCTATTGTTCCTTTTTTTTGTCTTATTTCAATATTTTTGCAACCCAGATCATTTTCATGTGTCATCTTGCATTTGTAATTGTCACCACCCTTTTTAAATATTTTCTAGTTATTTCATGTTTTAATTTGTTTCGTGTTCAAAGTATACCACTCCCAGTTTGTGCCTCTGTAACATTTCCAGCATACGTTCAGATTTCTGATTGTTAGGCAGACTTGCACAGACTTTTCCTACTGACACATTTCTTTCTCTTTCAGAACAACCATGGTACAGAAGTATGATGGGTTGTCCCACTGTAAGTTTGCCCTGGTGTTTGCTGTGCTGATGGACCTGTTGGGTGTGACGTCTCTGCTTCTGGGTGTCTTTGCACAACTGGAGATTCAAGGCAGAGACTTTGGGGACCTGCTGGTCTACTCAGGAGCTCTGCTGGTACTGTTTTCCTTGGCAGGCTGGGTCCTGTGGTACAGTGGCAACATTGAAGGTCTGCCTTTACAAAAGGAGCACAGCAGGACTGTGGGTAACGCTGTGGACCGACTGGCTCGCTCTGTGAGTCGCAGGATACGGCTCCCCAGGACACGGAGCAGCCCCACATAAGGATTCAAGATCCAACATTTCAAAGTTCAACTGAGTTAATTTGATTTGTGTTACATAAGTGAACACCAGGTTTTCCTTTTACTGGCAGGTTTTGATAACAGCTTTGGTGGATTTTCCAAAATATATGGTGTAATAAAGAACTTAAGCATGATTATCTTTTGTGATTTTTTTTAAAAGGCTGTAACAGGTTACGAGGGTGCAATGACTGAGGTGAAGTTGCAGAAATAAAATGCAAACAAAGGATTCTTTTTATTTTCATGGGGCTCATGTTTCATGCATTCAGATCCACGAGCCTATCAGCTTCCAGAAGGTAGCTGTGATCTGAGCGTGCACAGACTGAAGGGGGGTTTCATGACCCGGAAACCAAAACATAAAGACCTCATCAATTATCAGTCAAAATTAAATGTCTTTTAAAATTGTGAATGCTTATCAATTATTTATTCAAATGTTCAGATCATTCATGCCATTGGTGCTATGACCTTTGGTGTTTCAGCAACATTTTTTTTACTATTTAGCTTTTTTGGCCATTTTCCTCTCACTGAAAATGAGTCGTCAACATTGTCACCATCCTTAAAACCCTTCATATTTATTCATCTTTACTGCACATTTTACCAGTTACTGTAGCTCTGCTTCGTTGTGCTAATTTCAGCTATTTTTGGCTTCTTTATGTGTGTGGTAATTTTAGCTTTTATCTATTTCAACTTTCTTCTACTTTTTGCTATTGTTTGGCTAATTTCAACTTTTTGTGCTTCTTTCTGCTTTTTTATGCTAATTTAGGCCTTTTTCTGCCCATTTAAGCTATTTTCTTTAGTAGATTTCAGCTAATTTTAGATTTTCTTTCTAACTTCATCATTTTGCAGCAAAACATGCCTTCTTTTTTAGCCATTTTCAGCTCTTTTTTCTTGTTTTTCTGCTAAAGTGATGTTTTTGCTGTTCTTATACCATCTGCTAAAGCCAACATGTTTGATACTTCTAGCTACATTTCTACTCTGTACAGCCTTTCCAACAGTTTTCCTTCTGATTTTTCACCTTTCCCCCAACTTTCAGCAAAAGTCAGCTGTTCAAATTGAACTCACATTTTCAGCTTCTTCGGCAGCTTTCAGCTATAAGCATTCACACTGCATTGGATAAGCAAATTTTCTAGTTACAAGTAATGATGTCCTTTTTTATCTACAACTATAAAATGCTTTTTTGCAGTCAGTCATAACCTGATAAATGCTGCATCCACACAACCATGTTTTTACGTGTGTCTGTATAGGAAGGTGGACTATTGTGAAAGAATTTTTGAAGATTAAATCTTCTGACAAGCAACATTTTTTATTAATCACCATAATCAGTCAAATCCTCACTGAACTGTGTTATACTGATACACCAGATTCAAACAGTGACAAACAGGATTAAAAGAAGGAACTGAGGTGACAATAATCATAGTTGCAGACGATTTATTTGGTGCTCAAGTCTTTTCTGAAAAATAAGGCGCTTCTGTGACATCAGAATGTTTAACTTCACACAAATACTGCATCAGACACTTGGAAGAACTTCTGTCCCACATTTTACGAAACAAATTTAAACACAAAGCAACTTAAATCTCTTAAGCCTTTTCACAAAAAAAAAAAACAAAAGTCAAGAAAAAGTTCAGAAAATAAACTTTTAAGGAGAGATGAAACTTTTCATATAAACACATTTTGAATGTGCAGATATACTTCACCTGGAACAAAGAGCAGTTTGAGTTAATACTTTTGGCTGAATGTCCGGGCATCCTCAACACAAAAGAACATTTCTCCAGTTTAAATACAGCATCAAAAGATAAAGTATTTGATTGTCTTTGCAGCTTCCAGAGAAGTTTAACTTCATGATTCAAGATTATTCTCTGTGTGCTGAACAAGATACAGACACAAATCCATTAAATGAGATGTATTTCAGTAAAACTGAATTTCATCATTAGTGCAAAAGTTCATAAAGCAGCTTAAAAATCTGACCGCCGATATCAAAATCAAATAAAGGCATAAGTATTCATCAAAATCCAAAAACTGAGGTAAACAAGTTTGTAACAGCAAAAGTGAAAATCGATACTTTTATTGCTGCCACAGTGAGAGGTTGTTAGTTCCAATCTGTCCACATCGTGCCCCGTTGTGTTGCTGTAGAAATGCCCACTTCATCTCATGACAAAAACTGAACCCTGTCAGAGGGAAGGACTGGGCACAGAAGGAGTGGGAGTCTGCCAGATGATCATGTGACCACGTTCAGACCGCTGTGGTGAAGCCTGCGTCACCTCGATCGATTCATCACTTCCATCATCTCCTGAAAAGTTCAAAACATGGTTGGGTATTTGATGAGATGTTAATCATATAGTACTGAATGGTCAAGATAGGTTTTAAACATTAAATGTAGCTAAAATCTTTAATTTTTCAATGTTTTTGATTAAAAATCTTTGTATGTGTATTTCTAACCCATCTCCATCTGTAGCCAGTAGCTGACTGCATGATTTGTATTAAATGAGCAAAATCAGCAGATGTACTGTTGCCAACAATTACGAATTGTTTGTTTACATTTGAAAATTGACAAGTACACTTCAGACAATCTGGACAAGCGATGGATGGTGATTTGGTAAAATAACCCCCGGATGTAAACAAAGTCACAGAAAAACAGCAGAATCAGAGACACCAGGTCGAAAGTGAAAAAGATAAAAGTTCTTCTCTTTTTCTGAAAAGAAACAATGACTAAAAGCTCCTGAGAATGACAGCAGACAGAACAATCAGTTAATGATGTAGAAAGTGAGTTGGTAGCAAAAAAAATTCTAATCAAAAACATTTCTATAAAAAAATAATGTATTCTGACAGCTGTTATGGCTTTAAATCAACTCACCGATTCGGAAATTGATGTATCCCTCTCCTCCGCTGAGGATGAGCTGAGCTGTGGTGACTTGGCTGATGCCAGGAGACGTGATCAAACATCCTGAGACAAGAATGATCTCATAATCACCCAGGAACAAATACAGCAGGAACAGGAAGCCATCCAGAAATAAACTATCAAATAAAAACTTGGGTACAAAAGGATGGGTTTTTGGTTTTAATTTTGTTAATACTGGCTGTAGTTAAACACGAGATAAATTTCAACTTAAAAAATATGAGTATTAGGACGTTTAAAGTTAATCCCAGTAGGATTTGAGATACTAATCAAGTTTTAATAAACTGGTAAAAAAAATTTTTTTGATGAATTATGAAATTTCACTATTTCAAACTAAAGGTCTGATTTTTAAAGATCAAATATTGAAATGCTTCTTTATTATTATTTTTATTTAAATGCCCAAATGAGGTGTATTTTTTTAATTGTACCACCGTCAAACATGTTCTTTAACCCATCTTTAAAAAGTCTACGATAAAGAAGTAGTAATAGTCTTACCAGGTGCAGCGATGATGAAGCGGACTGCTTGTCTGTGTCCGTGGTACGACAGCTGGGCTGATGCAGTCGAGCAGTATGGGATGGAGACATCCTCAGAGGCTGGGAACAGGTAGCATGATTAGGACCAGAGTGTGTTTCTGACTACATAAAGTGGATAAAACCTACTTATGGACAGGGGGATGGAGAAAATAGCTCCCCCTCCTGTTCCCACCCACAGACGACCAGAGATGATTGTCAGAGAGGAGATCTGGAGAGACGAGAGTGTCAGGAAGGGCTGGCCTTTAAAAGGAGAGGGAAAAAAAGACTAGTTGTTCACAAAGCAAATTTTTAGACAAAGCATTGATGACTTTTACAGTTTGTCTTTTGTAGCTAATCTGAGCAATAGGGCTGCAACGATTAATCGATTAATCGACGACTAATCGATTATTAAAATAATCGATGACTAATTTAATAATCGATTAATCGTTTTCTTTTTTTTTTTGTTCTTTACTTTGTTTTTCTCTCCAAACTGCTTTGACACCTTTCGCTGCCACATCTGCCTTTCTGTCATTGACACACATGCACAGTAGTGGTAACTGGGGTAGGCCGTGGACGTCACAAGACATTATACAGACAGGTTCTGGTATCATGGCTACCTGACAACGGAGCTCAAAAGTGTGGGAACTTTTTAAGAAAATGAAAGAGAAACCTGTGTAATATCTGCAGAGCAGAACTTGCCTTCCACAGCAAATATTTTTAGTTAGCATATAACTAAAATCTAACGATAGTTATATAATAGCAGCTGCATTCTGACATGATAAGCTGTATGTTTTATATTCAATTAACGTATGATCTGATTAGTCGACTAATCAAAAAAAATAATGGGTGATTAATCGATTATAAAAATAATCGTCTGTGGCAGCCCTAGGGTCAAACAATGTTTTAGTCAAACAGAACCAACAAGAATGAAACAAAGTAAAGAATTAGAG